GTTTGAACCACCACCTTGTGGTTCAAATTGACGTTGCCATCAAGTACTTATCCTACAACACCACACCAGAACTCCACATCCATACACATACAGAAGACTTCCCAAAAGGGATATTTTGAATGACTGATTGTCATTCACTTAATCAACCAAAGGGGGCTATCTAAAATTGGGGTATTAGTTTGGGTTGACTTACTAAGTTTGTTTGTCTACATTCTATAGGCTAATTGAGGGATAATGCATATCAAGGTCAGTTTGAACCTCAATGTCGATGGTTCAAAGATTCATCAGCCGCTCCTCGGAAACCCTATACAAGGTGGCTATGAGTCAGAACTGACATGATAGCACTTAACAACAACAACACAATTATTTACAATTGGGTAATTTCTAATATTGCGGTATAAAGATTCTTAGCACAAACTTTCCCTGAACTGTCTTTGTAATTGTTGTTGTTAGGTGCCCTTGAGTCAGTTTCAACTCACAGGGACACTGTAAACAACGGAGTGAAACACTTCATGGTCCTGCACCATCCTCACAATCATTGTTACACTTGAACCCATTGCTGTTGCCGCTTTATCAATCTCTCATTGAAAATCTTCCTCTATTTCGCGGACCCTCCACTTTACCAAGCAAGATGTCTTCATCTAGGGTTGGTCCCTCTTGATAGTGTGTCCAAAGGATGAGACACAAACCTTGTCATCCTCACTTCTAAGGAACATTCATACAGATTTGTTTGTTCTTCTGGCCATCCATGGTACTTTTAATATTCTTCTCCAACACCATTAACTCAAATGCATCAGTTCTTCTATGGTTTTCCTTATTCATTGTCTAACTTTCACATGCATATGAGGTGATTGAAAATGCCATTCTTCAAACAGGTACACCTTACTCCTCAAACTGACATCTTTTCTCTTGAACACTTTAAGGAAATCTTCATATAACCTAACCCTCCAGCAGACTTGCCTAATGCAATATGACACTTGATTTCTTGACTGCTGCTTCCATGAGTGTTGATAGTAGATCCTAGCAAAATGAAGTCTTTGACAACTTCATTCTTTTCTCCATTTATGTGGATGTTGTTTACTGGTCCAGTGGGGTGGATTTTTAATTTCTCTACATTGAGAAGCAACCCATAGTGAAGACTGTAGTCTCTGATCTTCTTCAGTAAGTATCTTAAGGCTTCTTCTCTTTTAGCAAGTAAGGTTGTATTATTTGTATATTGCAGGATATTAGAGTCTTCCTCCAATCCTGATTCCATGCTTTTCTTCGTATAATCCAGATTCTTGGATTATTTGTTCATCATACAGATTGAGTAAATATGGCAAAAGAATACAACCCCAGTGCACACCTTTTCTGATTTTGAACGATTCAGTGTCCCCTTGTTCTGGTCAAATTACTGCTTCTTGGTCCATGTACAGGCTCCTCATGGGCACAATGAAGTGTTCTGGAATACCTGTTCTTCATGTTACCCATAGTTTGTCATGATCCACACAGTCAATAAAGAACAGGTAAACATCTTTTTGGTATTTTCAGCTTTCAGCCAAGATCTATCCATCACGCATTCCACATTCTTGTCTGAATCTGGCTTGAACTTCTGGCAGTTCCCTGTTGATGTACTGTTGCAGCTGTTTTTTAAATTGTTTTCAGCAAAATTTTGCTTGTTTGTCATATTAATGATATTATCTGATGATTTCCACATTCTGTTGGGTCTCCTCTCTTTCAAATGGGCACAGATATGGATCTCTTTTAATCAGTTAGCCAAGTAGCTATCTTCCAAATTTCTTGTCATAGATGAATGAGTGTCTCCAGTACTGTAGCTGCATCCGTTTCTTGAAAGATTTCAATTTGTGCTCCATCAACTCCTGGAACTTTGTTCTTTGCCAATGCCTTCAGTGCACCTTGGAGTTCTTTCTTCAATACTGTTGACTCTTGATCTTATGCTACCTCTTGAAATGGTTGAACATCAACCATTTCTTTTTGGTACAGTGACTGTGTATTCCTTCCATCTTCTTTTGATCCTTTCTGTATCAGTCAACATTTTGCCCATAGAAACCTTCAGTATTTCAAGTCGAGGTTTATATTTTTTCCTCAGTTATTTCAGTTTGATAAATGCTGAGTGTGGTCTTCCCTTTTGGTTTTTTAACTCCAGGTCTCAGCACATTTCATTATGTTGTTGTTGTTGTTAAGTGCCGTTGAGTTGATTCCGACCCATAGCGACCCTGTACGGGGTTTCTGAGGCTGTAAATCTTTACCGGAGCAGAAAGCCTCATCTTTAAGGTTCGCAGCCCTATTCATAACCACTACACTATCAGAGCTCCTTACATTTCATTATAGTATTTGACTTTTTATTCTTGAACTGCCCTTCGGAATTTTCTATTCAGCTCTTTCACCTCCTTATTTCTTCCATTTGCTTTAGCATCTTTGAGCTGGAGAAAAAGTTTCAGAGTCTCTTCTGACATCCATTTTGATCATTTTCCTTCTTTCTTGTCTTCTTAATTATCTTTTGCTTTCTTCCTCTATGATGTTCTTGATCTCATCCTACAACTCATCTGGTCTTCGGTCATTAGTATCTACTGCATCAAATATGTCCTTGAAATTATCTCTAAATTCAGGGGAGATGTGTTCAAGGTCTTATTTTGATTCTCATGGACATGTTTTAATTTTCTTCATAGTTTTCTTCATAACTTGCATATAAGCAAGTTGTCCCATGACCCTCTTTTAATGGATGATATGGAGCTTTCCCACCATCTCTTCCTACAGATATAGTCAATTTGATATTTGCATATTCCATTTGGTGAGGTCCATGTGTATAGTCATCTTTTATGTTATTTTAAAAGGGTATTTACAATGATAAGTCACAGAAAAATTCTATCATGCAATCTCCAATATCATTCCTATCAACAAAGCCATATTTTCCAGCTACTGATCATTCCTCTTTGGTTCCAACTTTTGCATTTCAATCACCAGTAATTACCAATACACCTTGATTGCATGTTTGATCAACTTCAGATTGAATAAGTTGGTAGAATTGTTCAGTTTCATCATCACTGGCTTTAGTGGTTACTGCGTAAATTTGAATAATAGCGGTATAAGAGATCTTCCTTGTAGGCATTTGGATATTATCCTATCACAGACAGCATTATACTTCAACATAGATATTGAAATGTTCTTTTTGATGATAAATTGGACACCATTCCTCTTTAACTTGTCACTCCTGGTATAGTAATCTATGTGATTCTCAGAATTAAAATGGCCAACATTAGTGCATTTCAACTCACTAATAACTAGGAGTACTGGTGTGGTGCTATATGCTAAGCACTGGATGGCAAGGTTGGTTTGAACCAAAAGTCGGTGGTTCAAACTCACCAGTTGCTTCTTGGAACCCCTATATAGGGTTGCTATGAGTTGGAACCAACTTAACAGCACTTAGCAACAACAAAATGACTAGGATATCAATCTTTATACATTCCATTTCATTTTTGACAGCTGCCTATTTTCTTAGATTCATACGTCGTACATTTCATGTTCTGATTATTAATCAATGCTTACAGCTGTTCTCCTCATTTTTAATTGGGTCCCATCAACAAATGAGGGTTCTGAAAGCTTTACTCCATTTGTGTCATCATGGGCAGCTCTACTTTTGAGGAGGCAGCTCTGCTCCAGTTGTATTTTGAGTGTCTTACAACCTCAGGAGTTAATCCTTCACTGCTATATCTGACAATATTCTGGTGTTCTTCCCAGCATGTTTCAATATTCAATATTCTGGTGATATCTGACAATGTTCCACTGTTGTTCATAAGGCTTTCAGCTGCTAAACATTCGGAAGTAGTTCACCTCTCTTTCTTCCTAGTCTGGAAGCTAAGCTGAAACTTGCCCACCGTGGGTGACCCTGCTGCTATTTAGAATACCAGTGGCACAGCTTCCAGAATCATAGCAGCACACAAGCCACCACAGCACAACAAACTGACAGACAAGTGGTAGGGACTGTCTTTATATGAGTTTTTAGTGGTTACGAATCGGGCTGCGAACCTTAAGGTCAGTGGTTCGAAACTACCAGCCACTCCGCGGGAGAAAGATGAGGCTTTCTACTCCCGTAAGGATTTACACCCTCGGAAACCCTGTACAGGGTCGCTATGGGTCGGAACCGACTCGACGGCACTTAACAACAACAACAACAATTGTTGTGTTGTTGTTAGGTGCTGTTGAGTTGATTCTGACTCATAGCAACCTTGTGCAGGTTTTCCAAAGAACATCTGGACGGTGGGTTTGAACTGCCAACCTTGTAGTTAGCAGTTCAGTGTTTGTCCTACAGCACCACACCAGGACTCTTGTTAGTTTGGGGGAAGAGTTAAACCTTTTATCAGAATTTTTGGGAAGGGGTAAGTCTCTATCACAAGTCTCTGGGAAGGATTAAGCCTGAAGTCAAACAACTGCCTTTACTAGGAGCTTCCAGTTTCTCTCTGTTCACACAAGAACAAGATTATACAAGGAATAATCTATGTCGGCCCTATTTTAGGCCTTACAACTAAATGAGATAGATATTGAAACCCATTTGACAGGCACATCCATAGGTGAATTTTCTTATTCAAAGTCATATTGCTAGTAAGAGGGAGAGTCGGTGTGCAAACTTGGTCTGACTCTGCCATCTTTCCCAAAAGGACATAGCAGAATGGATAAACATATTAGGGAAGAAGACTTGTCCACTGGGAGGGACTAAATACTAGACCTGTTATTGTGGTGGTTTTATGGTGACAGTTGCAGCTAATGTCCTTTACATAGTTTAAAAAATTTTATACATTATATGAAAATTATATGCATAAATTTAGTGTTAGCCACTACCAGAAAACAAGACTTTGTTTATTATTTATTTACTCATTTATTTAGCTAGGTGTCTGAACTGAACCTTCCGAACGACTTTTTTAACTCTTATTTGTGATCACATATTTTCTCACATTGATATCAACATATAATAACCCTGTCCTCATCCTAATTTTCCATGGCAGAAATCAGAAGCAACTGGAATTTATTTCTCAGAAAGAAAATTTCTTGGCACAAAGAAAAGTCGACATCAAAAACATGGAAGAAGGACTTGTCACATTAAGCGAACTTCATCGGTAGGTTTGTTGCCTTTGGAATGTTTCATCTTCATTCTTTTCTGCATATATTTTAAAAATAAATAATATCAATAAGTCCATGGCAATTTTTCATATGCTTCAGAAAAAGAATTTATAATTAGTTCTTTCTGTTTCATAGTCCAACGAAGTTGTTTCCATTGTTTCTTTCATTGAAGAGATAGACAGGTTCCAAATTCTCTGTGGGCTGCTGGACACAAGAAATGGGCAAGCTTGAGGGAAGCCTATGCCTGAATATTATCATTTCTGCCATTCTAAATCACTTTAGTTTTGATTTTAACATTTTTCTCATTATAAAAAGAATGCTTGTATCAGATTTTAAAATTCAAATGTAAGAATATCTAATTTAGAGAGTAAATGTGCATGTGAATATATTTATTCTCCAAGCTATAATTTTATGTGGAAAATATCCAGTTACAGAAGACTACAAAACAACTTAGGAAACTCATCCTATGATAACTGGCTAGGTCTCCTGGTATGGCACTGTAGGATCAGCACTGGACTTCGAGCCACAAAGTCCGAAGTTCAAACCCACCAGCTACTCCTTGGAAACCCTATATAGGGTCTCTATAAGTCAGAATTGACTCAATGGCTCTTAAAAACAACAACATAACTGAATATTTTCCACTTAAAATTATATCTTGAATAGTGATCAAGTAAATACAGTTGATCCTTGACCAATGCACAGGTTAAGGACACTGAACTCTTTTGAAGTTGAAAATCTACTGTGAAGTTGAAAATATCATATACAGTTGAACCTTGAACTACCATACATGGAATAGCTCACACTCCATCTATAGTTGTACAGAATAAAGTGTGGGCTATAGAAAACATTCACAGAAGAATAAGAGAGTGAAATCCAGGGGAACTTCTTTGTTAGACAAGGATTCATACTGTGAGTTCAGCATTTAAAAACAAATCAGATTTTATTCTGTTTACTCATCAAAAGGGAAATAATGTCTCCACATACAAGAAGATACATGGTTTGCATATGAAGAGCAAAAAGACCACCTTTATCTAACTTAAGATAGTGACAAAAACTTGAAGGGACATAAACAAATACCTGGATTATAGATTCTTTGGGGGTTGACCTTATATGGTTAAATAATATACTTAAACATCTGTTTCTTGTTATGTTAGCCTCAGAAATAAAACTGCTAACTCCTCCATATGAAATATTGCTGTTAAGTGCCATTGAGTCCATGCCAACCCATAGCGACCCTGTACAAAGTTTCCAAGGCTGTAAATCTTTACGGGAGCAGAAAGCTTATCTTCTCCCACAGAACTGCAGGTAGTTTCGAACTGCTGACCGTGAGGTTAGCAGCCCAGTTCGTAACCACTATACTGCCAGAGCTCCTTATATGAAATATAAGGAAATGGAAATCAAGTTGAATAGAGGTGTTTTTTTCCTGAAGAATAATGTAGATTTTATAATAAATTATAGTGGCCACCAAGCAGCTCATAGTCAAATCTGTATTTACTTAGAATTTTTCAGATTATTGTTGTTTTCTTTAGTTTAAATTGGTTCAAATCCTCTGTGGGTTATATTAAATATGTAACTCACAAGCCAAATCAAGAAAAGTTGGGGCAAATTGCTAAGGACCAGGGGAAGATAGTGGATTTGTCAATGGTAGAAAATTGAGAGCACAGATAGATAGGGATTTTAAATCGAGAAAGAAAATAGGAGCATAGTTTTATTTCCAGTTTATCTAACAGTGGTTCATATTATAAGTTTTACCTATGAATAGTTCAACCTTTCAAAACATAAATTAAGTAGTATTTGAGTTATGTGGCCTTTTATTTATTTACATGAATAAAACACTTAATAGAGAGGGGAAAGGGCAGGGAAGGTGGTGGGATAAAAATAAAGGCCTCTAATACCTCTGTTCCGCGGGAGAAAGATGAGGCTTTCTACTCCCGTAAAGATTTACACCCTCGGAAACCCTGTACAGGGTCGCTATGGGTCGGACCCGACTCG